GAAAATAGAGCCTTGACAGCAACAACGTGGCCCCTGCTCTAGTAAAAAATATCAGCTGGGGTAGTGCGAGATTTCTAGCCATGACTTCCTGTTGCTGCTCACTCTGTACCGTGCCGGAGAGAGCTGCCACAAGTTCAGGGGGCTGATCATCTTATTTAAATGAGGAGAAGCTGTACGACGCTGGGTTTCCTGCTTAACCAAAACCTGCTTTGTGTCACTAACTTACTGTGTCAATTAATATGACACACTAAGCCAGCGGGTCAAAGGGCAGGCTCCGCTGTTGACTCATTTCTTGCTAGGTAGGTTACGGTTAGTCAGACGGCAACTTTTACTTTAGCAAAAGATCGTGTTTGCAAAACAGGAACGTTCTTATGTTGCTGGCTTTCAGACAATATTTTGTCACTTTTTGGGGCGGTAAAGGGAGGATGAGAAAGAGCAGCAGTTCTAGAAGTTTTGCTGTCAAGTCAGCTTTCTCACACTCAGAGAGGCGCCTGTTGGAGTCTTTTAGTGCTGTATGAGAGGTTGCTCCAGATGGGATGGGATGTGTCTGGAGGACTTTTTGTTATGCTACACAAACTATTAGACACCAAGCTTTCTCATAGGAGTAGTTTCTTTAGCTTTGCTTCCCTCTTATTTCCAGCCCTCACAGCTTGCCTCTCCCTATTTTCCGAGGTCTTGTCTTGCTGCCTATTATATTTAAAAACAAACAAAAAACCCAACCCACTGAAGTGCTGCAACACTTCTGGTTTCTGACAAACAAGAACAGCACACTCAAAAACATCATCTAAATAGCGTAGGCTAGTTTTAGCTAGTTTTAAATTCAATTTAAAAGGGATGAGCTGCTTTGCAGAGCCATTCTGTTGTCTGTGTAGGACCTTTGTTCCAAGAAGTGTTCCTCATAGCTCCAGGAGCCCATTGTGCAAGGCATGTTCTCAGGTTAGGTTGCAAGCATGACAGCACTTTCCGTGAAGCTATGACAAATGCAAAGCAGTTTTCTCGGAATCATTTTAAAGCAAACTTGACATACTTTCTACATGAATTAAGAACCTGTTTACATAATTTAGAGTTTGTCTTGTGTTGGCTATTTAAATATTGTCCTATTGTTCATGTTCCATGACTGGATAATTTATGTAGCTAATCATCACAGGAAAAATTTTGCATGTCAGTTTGGTGTTTTGTTGGTTACATAAATCAGCAACTGGGAAAAGGAAAACAATACTGAATAAGTTACTGAAGTAACTGCACCAGACAAATTGCAGATTGATCATCCTGCTGGGAATGCTTGCATATCAAAAATAGGCACTGAAATTTTGACAACTTAACTAAATTTAAGGATGTTGGAGCTATTCATAAATAGGGGAAGGAAAGAATAATTTACCATGTCAGCTTTGGCTAAAGTTTGAAAGTGTGGGGAGAGGTTCTCCTCTGCTCCACCTCCCTCCCCAAATATTAAGGAAAACTTACAAGTGAACACCTTTTTTATTTTTGTATGTGTGTGTGTGTGTGTTTTGGATTAGTTGGTTTTGTGTGTTTTTGTTTGTTTGTGTGTGTTTGGGTTTTTAAAGTGTTGTTATATCCACAAGTAAAGAAGTAGCAGGAGTTAATTATAGCTTTGTATAGTCTTGTACTTTCACAGACATACTTGTATTTTAGGGCTGACTTTGTTTCCTTAAACTGCATTTTTGAAATATGGGTAATTGCTCACATAAAAATTTTACTTTTGACATTTAAATTGTTTTTACTCTTGAGGTTTTTAGTTTTGATATTATGAATGAGCAAGTTTCTTACCACCACCTTAATTTTACTAGTAGTGTGGTGTGTATATATAAATGGATAAAAAAATTTTGAAATCTGTTCCTTCCTTTGCGTTGAAGGAAGAAGGTATGCAGTTAACTTGTAAGCCTGGAGCCTTTGTAGTAACTGTAGCACAGAATGCACATTGCCACAGATTAAAATATGAGATAAAAAACACAAAGTTGAAAAAATAATCAGGATGCAAAGTGGTACATTTAAAACAAACAAACCCACCCAGACATTAAATGATTGTGGCTCTTTGATACAGAGGTGCAATTAAATTAAAGTCTATTTCCTGATAAACTGATGGACTCTGAGACATCTGGTTCTTTTTCCTGCACTTTTTTTCCTTCCTAAGTGAAAATTCACTGAAGGGTGGGGGCAAACATAATTTCCCCCATTCTTCTTCTGTTAGTTTTTATTGATACATCTGGAATGAGCTATTAATTTACAAAATCCACAAGCTATGTCTCTGAGGAGGAAAGCCTCAGCCTGTTAAGAAGTAGTTAATAACCCATTGCTTGAGTTGGGTGGTTTAAGTTCTTGCTTACTGACCTTTTGCCCAGCTGCTGGATAGTTATCCTTGAAGAAAAGTGTTGGATACATACCATAGCAAGCAAATTTGGACAATATTGGCATTAGATATAAGCTATCTGATAGCATGCAGCAGATAAAAGGTTGCCAGGGGAACCAGAAAATGAGGGTTCGCAAAGAAGAATTCCCCTAGGAACAGATCATCAGGGCTACTTTTTGTTCAGGTGACAGAAAAGCTACAGCTTGACAAGTTAACGCTACAGGACAAATCTCCTGTTATATAGGAGGCTATACCCTGATTGGTGGTAAAGATACTTTATGTAATATAAAGTGTGTGAACCATAGATAGCTGGGGTTGAGCAGTTTACGGATTTAGGAGGCTGATTATTCTTGTCTTATAATTGTAGGTGTAGTTGCGATGTCAGGCAGTGAAACGGAGGATGATGACACTATGGATGTCCCGCTGGATCTTTCCTCATCTGCTGGCTCAGGCAAACGGAGGCGACGTGGTAACCTGCCTAAGGAATCCGTGCAGATTCTTCGGGACTGGCTGTACGAGCACCGATACAATGCTTATCCTTCAGAGCAAGAAAAAGCACTGTTATCCCGACAAACACACCTTTCCACACTACAGGTATTAAAAGAAGTAGTTCCTGCTTCAAAAGGAGCTGTTTTCTTCCCGAGTTACCTGAGGTCTAATCACTGATAGAAATGGTTACACTGCATATAAGATTTCCTTTTTTTATTGTTGCTTACTCTCCTTCTGATGGCACTTATAAGGAGAACAACTGAATTGTGTGTTGTTATGATGATCTTTGTTTATTGGGAACAAAATCACTTCTCTGGGAGAATGCAGTTGTGAGTTTGAGCATGCATGCTAATTTTTGTGGAATCAGCCCCCAAAAGACACAAAGTGTCTGTATAACATAATTGTGAAACAAAGATATTTATTTGTCCACAGAAGTTTTATGGTGATAGATACACAGCTTGACATAGAACACTTCTAAAACTGTGACTTCAGGCTCATTCCTGTGGAACATGCATGTATATAGCTATGTGTATGACAACTTACATTAAGATCAACCTATATGGGATAGCTCTACTCAAATGCATTAGGATAGGTATGATGAGGCTTTTGTGTGGTTAGTTTGGATTCTCATCCCAGGATACTGCTGGTAGCTGTGAGGTCCCTTGGACACATCATTCTCATCCTCTGCAATCGTCTTTGGTGAAATAGCTGTTGACAGTTGCAGCGCTCCACCTAAAGGGAAGGTGGCTGCAAGAGAACTTGGGTAGACAGACCCTGGTTTGATTTTTGAGAGACACTAAATACAGAGCATGCCTGTTGACTTCTAGGCTTTGTTTTTCCAGATTAATTCGTTAGTACAAATTTCATAATTGGCTATACAGTAAAATGTCCTTAGTATAACATAATAAAGAAAACCTCCTTTATGTAGTAAACAGAGAAAAGACGTTAAACTGTAAACTATCCCGTATCGCCCAGGAAACTGGTTTGATATTTAAACAAGGACAAACTTAAGTGAGGTAATTCATGTTATGTCTGTCGACACAGTCAGTTGAACAAGGAAAATCAGTAACTATTTGTGGGAGGAGTGGCTCTCTTTAGAGAGAAAAGGTTTTCCTGTTGTTAATTAACCTAAGCCAGGGAACAATAGCCAATAGGTTAATGTGTGTGCACAGAGTTAAAAGCTAAACCCCTCTGGTCAGGCTAGTAGTCTTCAGATGTCCTGAGGTTTTCTGTAACAGGAGTGGGGAGCCAGGGGTAGAGCTGGGACAAGGGAAAGGCCTTGCTAGGCGTGTCAGAACTTGTCAGTAAGTCTCTCTTTTGTTCTGCAGTTAAGGAAACTGCTTGGAGGGATTCATTAATCTAACCCAGTAACTCTAGTGGCACATAGTTGGAAATGAATGAAGGTAGAAATTAAGATGTCATTTTATTCCCAGGTCTGCAACTGGTTTATCAATGCACGCCGCAGGCTTTTACCTGACATGCTGAGGAAGGATGGCAAAGACCCAAATCAGTTCACTATCTCGCGGCGAGGGACCAAGCTTCCCGAGGGTGGCCTGGTGGAGTCTTCCATCAGCACAAAGAACTACATTCCCCTGCTGGAGGAGGCCACCTTCCTTCCCACTGCCACACCTCTCGGCAAGACTGTGTCCTCTTCCAAGCCAGCATCCCCAGGATCGGTCCTAGCTCGGCCGTCGGTGATTTGCCACACAACTGTGACTGCATTGAAAGACGCCCCTTTCCACTTTTGCCAGCCAGCTGACGTAGGCCAGACCACAGACCTGCAGCAGCCCCCAGCCAATGGCTTCACAGACAACTCTCTCTCCTACCATGAGGATGCATCGAAACTGGGACCTGGTGCAAATGCGCAAAGTGGGCTCTTTAACACTCCTCCTCCAACCCCACCAGACCTTAACCAGGATTTTAGTGGATTTCAGCTACTGGTGGATGTTGCACTCAAAAGGGCAGCAGAGATGGAGTTGCAGGCAAAACTTATGGCCTAAGTCCCCTTCCTTCTGCTTCCCCGTTTTGTTTTTCCAGGCAGGGATCTAACAGCTGTGTGGTTATTGTTGCCACCCACACAATATCAAAAAGACTTCACTGCATTATTATTATTTTTTTTATTAATCTTATTTGCACAAGGGATTGCTGAAATGAAGCTTCCTGTCACTGAGATGGTCTTCAGTGGAATATGGTCATTCCAAGAATTATAAACTTAAAGCTACTGTAGAAAGAAAGGATTGTGTGTTGGGGTTTTTTTGTTGGTTTTTTTTTTTATGTTCTCTTTGTAGGTTTTCCATAATGTGAGATGGTTCCCAAGATCATGTGATTTGTTTTTGTTTATTTCAGACTGTGCAATATCTAGTAATGATATAGAGTCTTCTTATCATTCCCATGTGGAACAAAATATACCAACACGCTGTCTAAAATAAATTTTCCATTTTTTTAACAATACAAACTTTGGATGATTATGCTTTTTCCCCATAATGTAATAAAATATTTTCTTTAAAGGTGGATGCATACAGAGTATTTTGTTGAATACGAGGTTTGCAGAAAACCCAGCTTTACTCTTGAAATAAATGGAAGTGAGAAATATTTTTGAGCTCCTACTGACTTTGGTTTAGGGAGCTATGCTAGCAGTTGTTGTTAACCAGACGTTTAAAGGAATGTTGAAAAGTGAGCCAGAAGTACCTGACCATGTTCTGCTGTGTTGAAATTTTTTTAAGGGGCCAAAAGGAGCTATGTAGGCAGCTCTCATTAAATTTCTGGGGGATTTCTTGGGCCCATCTAAGATTTTTGCCTCTTAGAAGTATTTCAGGACTTAGGAGATGTTCTCCCGAATGTGAAATGAGGATGTGGGGAAGTTCTGAAGATGAATTGAGGAGGCCAGAACAGGGGTGTTTTGCAGATCTCTTGCAGCTCACTGGTGATGAGTTTTGAGGGAGAAGGACAAGGGCTCGTACTCTTATTGGACTAGCAATGACAAGGTTTTGACTCAGTAATTCTCATAAACTGAGATAGAAGAGACTGTTGGGTTGATATCTGAGTTCTGGGAGGCAATTTTAAAAGTAATTCATGTTCTATTTTGGGGTGTATTTTGGCCAACAGAATCTAAGTTACCTTTCAGAGAAGGACTTTGCTATCAAAATGACTTACTACTGAAAAATGTGAAGACTTGCAGCTCACATTTCAGCTTACTTGAATGTCAGTCACCCACCCTTATCCTTCCAACAACAGTGAAATAAGAGACCTCTAGGGGAAAAAATCTGTTCCAGCTAATCCTTAAAAACAAACCAGTTGTCTGTTGGGAGGCTGGGGGAGGGCGTTGTGGAACAGGAGAGCTGATGAATTTTAAGGATATAATTACAAGTAGAAGACTGCAATATTGAGACTGCAATGTGTATGCATTTTGTTTTCCTGTGGCCTTTTTTAGTGTCAAATAAGATTCATCTGTTCTCTGGTGTACTCTTTGGAATTTTACTGCCTGCCTTTAACTGGCAAGTTTAAAATCAATCATTATATTAAAAAAAGGCAAATAATGAACACTGTGACTTACTCATGTCTGCATCAGCTTCAGTGACACAATTGTCCTAACTACTGTAAGAACATAGTAGGATTTTTTTTAAGCTTTTTTTTTAGTTTATTTTTAAAAAATACTTACTTCAATAAAGTAAAACTAGAAAACATAGCTGGAGATGGCTGTATACTCAGTCTTCAAGGAATAGCATGTGAGTCTGCAAAGAGCCCTGTGTCTTGTTTGTTTGGACACGTTGTACTTCATACTTTTGGCTATTTTTCCTGGGATTTCTATGTATGGGCTTTTTAGTTGTTTGTTTTTAATGGCTAATTGTAAAATAAAACAGAAGTATGCGTTTGTGTAATTGTGAGGTCAATATTGAGGGAAGAGTTGGTCAATAGACATTCTTCTGTGACATTGATGATTGTTCTCAAAGGGTGCTAGACACCGATAGAGGAGTTTTGTCTTTGGTAAAGGTTTGGAAGATACTTCTTTGTCCACAGCAGGAAGAGACTATTGCAACACTCCTTATGTCTGTGTCTTGAGGAAAAAAAAACCCACATCATGCAAATATGTGTGCATTGTTTGTTTCACTTTTTCCTCTTTTATTTTTTAATTTTTATTTTCCCCAAAGCAGGTAGGTTGCTTCTGTGCTGTGGGATAAAGAAAAAGTAAAGGACTCATTAAAGGGCATTCTTAGAGATCTTTACTCTTCATTACACTGCCCTTTAAAATGAAAAAAAGTCAGCAAGTTTAGAAAAAAAAAAATTGTGCTTTGCTGGTTGAGCTGACCAGTTCTGTAATTCCACTAGAACAGCTGCAATACTGAAAATGAAAATAGAATAAGGAAGAAAGCTGTTGCCATTCAGGTTAACAGTTTTCATTGAAAGCAAAAGCCTGTGGTCTCTGTGCTGTTTTCATTTACCATTATGCCACACAAAATGGCATTAGTGTAACTGAGCACCAAAGTCCTGCGCTGCTTGTGTGATGAGCGCTGCATTTCCATTTTGCTGACTGACTTACCCTGAGGACTTCACTTGTGACCAGTTTTGCTTCAGGCTGATTTTTTTTTTTTTTTTGTAATTATTACTTGTGTTAAGGTTACACCTAGAAGTTCAGCTGTAGTCAGAAGCCAAACCCCTTTGAGTAGCACCTGGCACACTATGTAAAAGATTTTTCCTACCCTGAGGTTATTTAACTTGGGAGGAAGAAAATTACTCACATTGAGTACCCACTGAAATAATATGAAAAGGGAATTTCTGCTTTCCTGTTATCTAGTACTGGTAGTTTGGGTGAGGGCTACTGAAGTTTGCCCAAACCTATTATTTCAGAGCAGAAACGTGAACTAACTCCATGTGAAATTACCAAAAGTAGGTAGAAATGGGGTATTGAGTGGAGCTAGGATGCAGATCTGAGCAGGAGTCCCAGTAAAAAAAAAAAAAGGCTTTATGTGCTGGTCAGCCATCCCTGGTAGAGCAAAGGAAAAGTTCATTTTGGAAATGTTTTAGCATGGAATAAGGTGAAGTGGGAGGAGAGTAGAAAGAAACAATGAGACAACACAGGCAGTTTTGCTGTTCTTGCAGCAGTGATAAACCCAATTGCAAGGCAGCTGTGTCCAAACGCAGCCTCTGACTGACACCACGCTTAGGCTCACTCTGAAGATGAGGGGGAGACGTTGCCGTACGTTACTGGAGACTGCGTTGGCCAGCCAGGGCGTAAGTGAGCTAAGAGGTATGACAAATCTATGCCAGGGGAAACAGCTCACACGCAGGCTTCGTCAACCTTGTTTTCATGGCTTTTTTATCCTGTAAACAAGTTGTGGCAGCTGCATGTGATAAATCTCTGCGCAGAGCAAAAATAATTACAATAGGGAGGGAATTGAGACTGGCGTCACCGCCTGTGTGCGCGGGGGGAGTGGTGTCTCGCTGCCTGTTTGGGGGGGGCTTGTGGTATCCCGCAAGTCTCTCAGCTTCTGCATGAGGTCAATGTACACGTCTATAAAACTTGAAGCTGTAACAGCTGGCCTCATGTGCTATGGGGGAGGGAAGGGGCGTAGGGAGAGCACGAAAGCGGGATAACCCGTGTCTGGAGGGCAGCATAGTCTGTCTTCAAGCCCTGGGGCGATGCTGGCTCCGTGGCGAGAGGGATGCTGCTGCCCTGGCAGAGGTGTGCGGGCATCAATCTCACCAGAAACGGGGTGGCAGGAGAAAGCAAGCGGAAACCAAGGAGAGAGAGTGCCGTGGGGGTGGTGGGGAACGATCACGGTTTTCCCCTTGGAGCTGAGGGAAGCCTGCAGCGGGAAGCCCAGGCAGCAGAAGGTGCAGTGCAGCTGGAAGCCCAGGTGCACCGTAACCCTGTTAAGTGTCACTTTTATACCTATAGTATTTAAGCCATTTGCAGTTAGCTGTGCTGCGTTGTCAAAGTCTGTTCTCATTTGTCATTCTTCTCACAGTGCTTATGCAGTTTTCTTGTTATCACCTAAAACCTATTCCTGGAGCATCTGATAGTTCTTTTAAAGCTCATGTGGGTTTTCTTTTCTTCTTCCTCTTCTTGGCATCTTGCAGTTGTGAGTTTCCCCCTAGCTTTTGCCAAATAGGGATTACTGGCATGAATTCAGCTCATACTCACTTTTCAGGACATTACTTGTTTTAAATCTCTTGTTCACCAATTGCCAGAGTTGTGCTGGAGTTGTT